TGGATGGTGATTCCTATGTTTACCAATTATGATGATGTTGGTGGTTCCTATCTACTATAATACTGGTTTATCGGATGATAACTTACTTGGAATACTTTTGTGTTCTACTCTAAGATATAATCACTGATAATTAAGCTTATAAGATATCATTGTCTATGACTTTGATATTGTCCATCTATTGATCTTTGAGTTTGGGCCAGTATAGGCAGACTAGCTTCGGCACTTCGTGCCGACGGGTTTGGTTTCTTTGCTCAGGAGGGTTGGGGCCTTTGGCTTCTCTCTCTATGTTCCTGCGGGCAGGGGCATATCACACTTTTGTAAGCTGGGTGACTCCCAGAGCAGCAAGGGTGGCTAACTCCGTTGGTCATTTCTTTGTCAGCGACGGCCGGAAGGTGTCTGAGCTGGTAGCGCATCCGCGTTAGACAAAGAGGTTGCCCCCTAACTCATTTAAATTGGTGCATTTCTCACATAGTGTGAGTACCGTGAACTTTTTCTAGAGTTGTTTCCTTGGCGGTATTCTAGACTCGAGTATGCATCGACAAGGACGTCGATCTTCCCTAGGGGGGGAGAGTGTCGCGCATGTGACTTCGGGTATCGAAAGTTACCTGTCGACCAGTCCTTACGAACACTCTTACCTTACTGCCACGATGGCAGGAGGTCGGTATTGCTGGACCCTTTATCAGTCCCTCTTGTGCTAGTGGAGTTAACTGGGCATTTCGAATGTACTTAGCCCGGGGGGGCATAAGGGCGGAATTCCTACGGGTTTTTAGCTAAGCATACTTAGCTCGGTAAGGAGTTCCCGTCTCGTTTTGTCTTGCCCTTGCTAGGGACAAGAACCCTCGGGTATTGAGATTAGTCCCTCAATATCGCTACATGATAGCTTCCCGGGCCTGCCAAACACCCTCGCTATCATGCCCTTTGTGTTAGTCTTATTTCGGTCCCAAATGCTATTTATGGAAAGTGTCCAGATTTGCTCATTTGGCATATCTACGGAATGTAGAGATCGTCCTGAACACAATGGTGTTCGTCCCGTGTCCAAATTCGCAATCTAGGGACATTCCATATTTAGTAAGTTTCGAGCTTGTCCCAGAGACTAACTCCTGATACTAAGGGAGGCTTGGGGTGAAAGCCCAAAGCGTGTGTTCCTCAAGGGGGGGGGGGGGGGGGGGGGGCTTTGGGGGGTTCCCAAAATTGTAGTAGGGATAATGGGTAGGTCGGGCATGGCTGACCAACCTGAGGCATAGTCTAGCTCCCGCTTGCGTGCCTGTCCTTGTTCTATGTCCAGCTTGGGTCTAAGCCCAAGTTCCATTCCATGCTAGTTGGTGGAGTACCCATATCCTCGCGTTAGGCCACCGGTATGCCGAAATAGCGCTAGACTCCGTTTGGCTCCGTTTTACATGCTGGTCCTGGCATTGGGATGCTGGTTGCTCTAGGACTGTTCCAAGTCACTCCGGGCTCCTGTCCCTTCACTCCTTGGGCTGTATGCTCGGGAGTTGCTCCGTGGTTCGGTTCCGTCACTCTTTGACTTCATGCTTGGGAGTTTGGCACCGTTCCTTCGTTCAGTGGCCCAAGGCCTTGAACCTCGGGTTCCTGTGGACACGTGGCATGGACACGTGGCATTGACACATGGCATCTGTCACGTGGCACAAAGAGGGTTTAGGTTCCACTTCGTGGTGTTATCCTATGGTAAATCACCATAGGATAAAAGGTCAAAACCACGTGCGCTACACACTTCTAGGAGTATAGTGTTTTCACTAGAAACTAGTGATACAAACAATACTCAACTGGAAAATAATTCCTAGACCTTGGGAGTTCTAAAAGAGGCATCCATAATAGAGTATACAAGAAAAAGCTAAGAGTTAGTAGCTACAAAGTGGCAAAAGGTTACAAATAGCGAGTTAGGGATTGATTATAGCGACATTTTCTCCCTTGTAATTAAAATGGTTTCAATTTGTCTAATCATTGCTATAGTCATTTGGATCTTACAAATAGATGTCAAAAATACTTTTCTGAACAAAGAATTGGAACAACCAATTTATATGCATTAGCCTGGTTTTACAGTACGTAGAAAAGAACATTTTATTTGTAAACTTCAGCAATCTATTTATGGATTTAAACAATTCAACAATTCAAAGATATGGTACAACACTTTAAACAAATTCTGGATTTTCTGTGCAAAAGCTAATTAGAACCTTTAGTATTGTGTTCAAGAATTATCAATCATACTTATTTGTGTCTATATAGACAATCTCATCATCATCAGGAAGGCATGGAATTTACAATTGCTAAAAGAGCAACTCATCAAACGACTTAAAATGATGAAATTCCCTTTTTTTCTTGGTCTTGAAATTTCATGTGACAGGGTGGAGGATTCACCAACACAAGTATATTTCTAACCTTGTCAAAGAATATGACAAATTTTTCATGACATGTATAACTTCAACCTCACACTACAATTTCAAAAGCTTTCCAGAGCTAATAAACCATGAGCAACTACCATATCAAAATGTGGTTGGAGCATTGATGTACCTCGCAACAGCAAGTCATCCAGATATAACATATTGCAGTAGTGGTCTCTCATGTATGCCAATTCATGCAAAACTTGGGGAGGAGACATTAATATGCAGTGGAACATATTTTCAACTATGTTGCACAGACCTCATCACTCCATCTCAAGTTTAAAGATATGATAGGAGGAGAAATTGGAGCATATATGTTGGTTCCATATGGAATGGTAGATGCTAATTTAGCTCGGGATCTTGATGATCACATGGAATGGTAAATTCTAATGTAGCTTGGGATCTTGATGATCACAGATCCAACAACCGGGTATGTATTTAAATTCTCCAATATTGTTGTGTCATGGCACAATTACAAACAACAAATGGTAGCATTATCAACTTGTGAAGCCGAGTACAATGTGGTGACAGAGAAGCATTGTGGATTTACCGTTTGCTGTGAGATATAGGATTCAAAATGCAAGCACTGATGAATGTATACAACAACAACATAGCATGTCTTCAATCCATCATAAATCCAATACACCACAAGAGGAACAAGCATTTTGAGATGTTCCATTACTTCGTTCAAGAACACGTGGAACAAGGAGAGATCAAACTTAAGTGCATTTCTACAGCCAACATGGTAGTAGATCTTTTGATAAAGACAATGATTGCAATTCCACAATTCAAACTTTTGCAACATCAACTTGTCCTTTTGTTTCTAGGGAGCTGGTGAATTGCAATCTGAGAAAGATTGTCAGATTGAGGGGGAGTGTTGGAGCAGTTGGAATCAAGGTAACAGGATGGCAGGAGCACACAACTAGGATTAGCAGTAGGAATCCAGGGGAGGAATGCATATATAAGTCCATGTATAACATTCCCCACAAAAGAATTTTCTTGTTCATTCTTTCCATCAAAACAACCCCAAATATTGTCAGCTTTTCTCCATAGGAACTAAGTGGCCTTACATACCTGTTCAAGAGCATGTGAACCTCTAGGCCAAACAACAAGAAATAACAATTCTGGTGGTTGATGACAACACTAACAAAGATCTCCACCAGCCCTATCTGCATAAGTATATCCCAGATGAACATGAGCATCTGCATTTGCTCTCCACCTACTCCTACCACCACTGCTGGATCTAGCTTAACCAAGTGTTCCACTTTACCACCTCTGCACTGATTGATTTGCATCTGAATCCAGTAATGCCTCTACCCTCTTGCCACTGATCAATGTTTCTATTGTCGCGTGGGGTTGCACAGCGAAGACTCCATTTTTCTCTATTTGACCTCGTTTCCATGTCTATCCCGTGGTAAGGATATTCTGTAGCTGGAACTGTATATGGTTCTCTAGTTGTAGGTCGACTCCCTTCAACTCTGGGCGTCTTAGCTTTTTTCTTTAGCCCAATCATCCTATTTCCACTGCTGCTTCCTGTTATACACGACATACAGATGAGCATCCTCTTCTTCTGAGTCAACATTTTGCATCCTCTGATTCTCCCCACTTTCTTCCTCAGAAGCATCCTTAGTGGTTTACTGCAGTGCCCCTAGGTAGCAATGGACAATCACGTGCCCAGTGGTCATCCCCTTCACACCAGAAACATTGGAATGTCCCTAAAAATCTTACTCACCACTGCCTAGGTAACTGCTTCTAGGAATTGGGCAACTGGTTGGACATTCACTGCTGCAACGCAAGAAATATTCTTTGAGCTGCCAGTCTATGACCAAAGAGGGCCCAAGCTGTACCGTCAACCGACTTAATACACCAGCAAAAGATCTCACTATCTCACTCTCCTTTTAAGTCAGCCTCCGGCTGTCTAAACCTAAGAATCGGTCACCAAACTTCCTTTCGAACCAGTTGAGTCCCATCTCCAGCCCATCAGGGTGTCTGAGGAACTCTTCTCAATTCGAATTCCACAAAACTCTGGTCCGGATGCTTTTCTTTTGCATTAAAAAATTCAAGTATTAGCAACAGAGCATTTTGCATTGTTTTCTTATTGCCGCAAATCTTTACAAATTTTATAAAATGCGTTCCTTTGAAAGGGAATGATTCCACACGGTCGCTGTCGTCCTTGTTCTTCTTTTCAGATTCACCCAGGCAAATATTGATATTCATATTAATGATGTTGATCCTCTTCCTCCTGGAACCATCACCATGATCCCTCTTGTGAGCATCTTCCTCGTCCCCATACGAATCCATCTTCTCTCTGGGAGATTCATAGGCAAGAGTGGAATTCAGCACTGGTGAATCGCTAATATTGCCGCTGGAACCATCCAAAGACAAGAGCTCTTACTCAAAGAACCTGGAAACTAGTCCACAAGAGAAGCAAAAGAACACAAGGCCACCCTTCATGACGAAAGTATCTTCAAAATATTTTGTGGTTTAACTTATAAATCAAGACAGCCAGTATCATGCATGCCCATTTCTTGCAAAGTGGTTCGCAAAAAACAATAAAAATTATTGGGTTATTGCTGAGCATTGTATTAGTTTGGACTATGGATGGGAACCTCAGGGCAGGCATTCTTTGCAGGGATTCTCAAGAACATCAAGAACCTGGACGAGCTGCGGCGTGTTCACGATCGAATCCAGAGCCGCCAATGCCTCAATCGCTTCCTGGCAAATCTCCTGGTGCAAATGTATGGCAAGTGTGGGAGCCCAAGCGAGGCAAGGCAGGTGTTCGATGCCATCGATCCGAAGAACGATTTCTCGTGGAGTATCATGCTCGGTGCCTACACAAGCAACGGCGACATGGACAAGGCCAAGGAGGTTTACGACACAATGCCGGATCGCAGCGTGGTGGCCTCAAACGCGATGATAACAGCATATGCCCAAGGTGGGCAAATTTACAAGGCAGAGCAGCTCTTTAGGGGCCTAAAAAAGCGAGACAACGTGTCGTGGAACGCACTAATACGAGGTTTCACACAGAATGATGAACTCTTTCATGCAAATTTAGTGTACTATAGAATGCCAAGGTGGTGTGCAGTGTCGTCGACGATCATTGTTACTGCATTTGCCGGAAAAGGGCATTTGCAAGCGGCAAAAGCCATTTTTGACAGTATGCCTGAGAAGAATGTTGTTTCATGGACGGCTATGTTGACTGGCTATGCACAAAACGGCAAGATGGGCGATGCTTGGAATTGTCTGGTTGAAATGCCTTCAAGGGATTCTGTGTGCTGGAACGCAATGCTCGCAGCGAGTGCCGCAACCGGAGATTTGGATCTCTCGAAAGCAGTGTTTGAGAGAATGCCCTGCAGAAGCGTGGTGTCTTGGAATTCGATGCTGCAGGCATGCACGGACGCGGAAGCCCACGACGAAGTGAGAATCTTGTTCGAATCCATCCCGGAAAAGAGCGTTGTGTCGTGGACGACGCTGCTGGCGGTGTATGCAAATGCAGGAGACTACGATCGAGCCAAAGCCACCTTCGACTCCATCCCCGACAAGAACATCTGCTCGTGGAACGCGATGATTCAGGCGTGTGCCGTGAGTGGAAAACTCTCGCAAGCAAAGGCACTGTTTGATAGAGTTTCCGAGCCCAAGAGTGTCGTGACATGGACGACGCTGCTGGGAGCCTATGCTCTGGCGGGACGGGTCTTGGATTCCAAGCTCGCGTTCGATCGGATGCCCGAGTGGAGCACAGTCTCCTGGAACACCCTCCTCGCTGGCTACGCTCGAAACGGAGCCACGAGCGACGCCAAGCTCACGTTCGAGCAAATGCCCGAGAGGAATCTCGTGTCGTGGAACGCGATGGTGGGAGCGCTCGCCCACAGCGGCGAATTCAGCGACGTGGCCGGCCATCTCTTCCGGGAGATGATGCAGACCGGGGTGAGACCCAACGCGGTCTCCTTCGCGGCCATTCTCGTGGCGTGCACCCACAAGGGAAGCGTGGACGACGCCCGCCACCATATCGTGGCGATGCAATCGGACCACGAGGTGGAGCCGCTGAGGGAGCACTTTTGCTGCATGGTCGATCTGCTGGGACGGGCCGGAAAGCTCGACGACGCCATGGATCTCATCCAAACCATGCCATTCCTTCCAAACGACGTGGAGTGGGCTTCGCTGCTCGCGGCATGCAAACGTTACAGCAACCGAGACCTTGCGGAACAAGCAGCAAAAGAGCTACTGGCGCTCAAGCCCCAAGATCCTCCGTCGTATGTCTCAGTCGCGGCTGGAGTCGTTTGACCTTTCAAATATTAGGGCTGACTCATCTGGTCCTTGTCATAGTCAACGACGTTCCTGGTCATCATCTTCACTTCTGACGTGGCTGTCAATCTTCTGACGTGGCAGCAAACGGATATCCTAAACTACAAATTTTATTTTTCAAAGAAAGAAGCAAACAAGGAAAAGAAACGAAAACGCGAGGAGCGCCTCAAAACCGATCAAACGCTCCCCGGAAAAAAGAAACACACAAGAAAAACTCGGACGAACGATCACATCTCTGGCGCTGCTCCACAGTGAACGTAGAACGTAGCGTCTGGAACCGCGAAGCCATTGAAGCTGGATCCAGCGCTCTTGGTGTAAGCCCCCATGCGAGGGAACACGAGCCAGTCCCCACACTGGAGCCGCGGAAGCCACACATCGCTCAGCACCGTGTCCAGTCCATCGCATGTCGGCCCAAAGATGATGGAGGGATGGAGCTCCACGTCCAGCAGCGGCGCATCGTCCTCCTCATCCTCGGACGAGCTTTCGCAATCACTGCCGCTGCTGCTACCACTGCTGCCACCGCCACTGCTCGCCACTGGAAGCGCCCGTACCGAGAGCGTTGCGTGGTCGTACAGCAAGCAATTCATGGAGCCGTAGATGCCATCGTTGATCCAGTACTCAACCACCGTCTTGTTGCCTTCCTCGCGCCTCCGGACCCGGCAGCCAAACACGAGCACCGCCAGGCTGAAGGCCTCCTCCGCGAAGAACCTGCCCGGCTCGCCGATGATCCTCACGTCCGCCATCGTCTCCCGCGGGAAGTGCTCCTCCAGCGCGTTGCCAATCTCGTACGCCGCGGCCGCGAACTTGACCCCGGCTCCTCCATCCGACACGAACCCGCCACCGATGTCCAGCATTGTCATCCTCGGGAGACCCAAGCTCTCGGCCATGTCGAACAGCTTCCTCGCGGCTTTGATGCCCTCCGCAAAGGCATTCACGTCCGAGGCACCGCTCCCGACGTGGAAGGCCACACCTGCGACTTTGATGCCCAGCGTCTTGGCCACCTCCAGCAGATGATAGCACTCGTCCCACTCGGCACCATACTTGACGCCCAGCGGGCAGCGAGCACCGGTGTCGTCGGCACGGAACCTCAGGAGAACCTCCGCCTGTGGATGGTACTTCTTAAGCTTGTAGAGCTCTCCCTCGGAATCAAACGTCGTGTACACCACCCCCGCCTTAGCAGCTTCAGTGATATGCGAAGGAAGCTTGCAGGGATTCGCAAATATAATGTTTCGTGGCGCCACCCCGAGTTGTGTCACAGCTTCCAGCTCTGCCTTGCTCGCAACGTCGAAACCGGCTCCCAGTGCCGCCAGCATGGACAGGAGCTGCGGGTCGGGGTTGCACTTGACCGCGTAGAAGGGGTGAACTCTCGGCATGGCCGACTTCCAAATCTTCCACAGCCTAGTAACAGTTGCCAAGTCAAGAACATAGAACGCATCCTCTCGGCCCGTGGACTGGATCTTCTTCCTGATGAATGAATCCATGTCCCTGGCAGTAGGACCGATGACCTCCGCCCCACCACTTTCACGTAAGGGCTGCACACCGTACAGAAACGGCTTCAAAGATGCTTCGCTGTTCTTGCTCTTGTAACCATTGCTCGCCACCTTCTCCAGTGCCGGGAACAGAGCAAGCGGCATCACTGTCGAGTCGCCACCTAAGATCCTCGTATAAGTGTGGTACACCACGAAGCTCCCCCCGGGCATTTCATGGCGAGTAGTCCCACTGCACACGTAGCCTCGTGGACAAACCGGCACCCCCCAGGACCCAGCGTCCTGTGAGTGGCAGAGTCCAGCCGTCGAGAGCGAGATGCTGAAAACTGCCGGTTTGAAACAGCCGAGCACTCTGTCCACCAAGCTTCCCAAGTCGAGCATGCTCGGGCTGTAACCCATGGTCTCGAAACTTGCGTAGCTGAAACCATCCTCCGGAGTTATGTGTATGGTCGAGTGGGCGTTGCCTTCGACGCTGTTCATTGAGTAGCCGCAGGGATCAAAGGCAAAGTCGCATATCTCCGAGTGAGGCAGGAGGTTCCGGATGCCGGACAGGAGAGTCATGTCAGCAGCTGACCGGTAGAACGGCGACTTGTAGAAGAGAGCTGCCGAAGAGCGATCAAGCTGCGTCATGCACATCTCCATTGTGTATGTCTCAGAGCTCAAGGGGGCCACTTCCGACGCAGCAACATAAACGTGCCAGTTGTGCATCTTAGAGGCGTCACTCATGACGCAAGCCTTGCCTCCGTTTCCAAGGTGACCAAAGTACTTCTCCAGGATCACCACCTCCTCGTTAAAGTTTCCATAAGGCGAAGGCTGGGCACTGGGAAAGATAAAAGTTCCTCGGCTATACTTGCAGCGGCAGGCTTCCAGGGAGATAAACGAGGCCGACTTGAGAAGCAGGGGGATGGCCTTCAAGAGCTGCGTGGTTCCACAGGTTTTGATGACGATTTTGGAAGGATAGACGAAGAGGCTTGACTCAGACAGCACGTAGGAATCAAACTGACTGTTGCTCAAAGCAGAGACAATAGTGCACTCGGCCGCTGACAGCATGGTGTCAATCTCATTGCGGGGGATTGCTCGCAGACCACTCGGATTGGCAAAACCAAGAGGATCCCAGAATTCCACCTCAAGCCTCTTCTCAAACCCCTCAAACCCAGGACTGGCAACAACAGGCTCCATGACTTCATCAGCGGGAATGAAAGAGACACCCATCTTGGCTTGTGAGAGGAGACGGAGGGGAGAAAAAAGAGAGGAGAGACCGGCTAAAGAGCTAGCTAGCTAGCGGGAAGAATGCTGCTCCCGAGAGCAGGGAGCTGATCTGCCACCGTGCAGCATGCCGCAGACCAGCTCCAAGAGGTAAAGGAGACTCCAAGCAAAGGATTTGACGAGGGGAAGGCCCTAGCCTACTCTACTGGCTCTTCTTTCTGGGGGGTATCAGGATGGTTTTCGGACGAACTGCAAAGAAGAAGAGACGAATTAGCTCGCGACGCATTTCTCGCAAAGAAAACAAAGGAGCTTACGTTTGAGTAGGCAGCGCAGCGGAACTTTTCAATATCACCGTCAGGCCTGATGTCCTCAATCTTGTAGCCGAGAGGAGACTCGTATTGGACAGAGTCGCGTTTAGATTTACTAGAATCACGCGTCGACGCCATTAAAACATTCAATCCGCCTGGAAGAAGAAGAAGCACACCACACAAGAGCAAGGGATGAGTCCCATTCCAATCCAAACCACGCCAAAAAATTTCCTACTCGAATGTGAAGAAAACCGGATCCTCGCCTTTCCCCAGGACGAAATATCGCACGAATCCAAGCCTGCGCAGCACAGGAGCCACGAAACCAGCGATCAATCGATGAATCGGCGCATGCAACAGAGAGAAAAGAGGCGAATTCGCCGATTGCGAGGCGGCGATCTAAGATCGCGCGCCGGCGCCGATGAGAGAAACCAAAGAATCAAACCTTGCGCCAAGACGCTGCCGCCGTCGCCTACGCCGCTTCCGTCAAGAACGCTCTCTCTTCTTCTTGGAATGCTTTTGGTGCCCGCGTTATAAAAAGGGGCAACCGCGCACTGTAGCACCGTAGCAGCGTTGGAAAGGGACCCTAACCCCGGTTAACACCACAACCGCCGGTTCGATTCCCTCCAACCCAAGGGTCAAAGCGCATATTCGCGGGAATAACGTCACCCATTTGAATCACATGCTACGAACGGCCGCCACGAAAGGAACCCATGAGCCCCTGTTAGGTGCCATTATTTTCACTGGCGACGATGAGACGCTCTCCAGCTCCATCGATCGCTCGCTGTAGATATCGCCCGATCGCTCCATCGGTGCCTGTAAATTCTATATCATTTGATCGATTATCCATGGAAAAAATCTCCGCCAGGGCATTGTTTTCCGATGGCAATCGCCCTCGATCTGGATCTGGAATCAAAGCCACCACTTGTAAAGAGAGCGATCGATCTATAAACCATGGGAGAAGAGAGCGATCGATCTATAAAACAAAAGGTACCTTGGAGCTTAGCCTGCTCTCGAGGAAATTGACTGGTTTTTTTTCTTCTGAGGACTCGATGGGAGTCATTGGAATAAAGCTGCAAGGATTGCTGCGGCTGCACCTTTGCCATGTGGAGTTCGCACTGTGCTGACGATTTACTGCTGATATTTGACTCATATGGAAGCGTCAGCAGCAAACAAAGGACCCTCTTCCCTGCCAAGCGAGAGACACCACTTTGTCTGCTTTCCCAGGCTATGGCGAAAGAAGCAGAGAGGAAAGCAAAACCACGTACCTCTTTATCTTTCCACAAACACAATATATACTGCACCACCTCAGCTCGTCAATCGTCCGCGTCAGGGGCCAAATCATCCGTGCTCCAGGACCTGATTGCGATGGCCGCCAACTTGTTGCTTCGCTCGCCTCGGTCCTGGAGGTCTGTTCGTGACGCTGATCGATTTGTTTTAGTCGCAGGCACCGCCTTCCGGGAACAAAACAAATGACTCGTCGCAACTATCGAGGAGAGAGACGAGCATCTGGGAAAACATTTGAAAAAACCAAGTGCGTCAGAAGGAAACCAGCACAAAAAACGTGGTTGCCGGTAACAAAGACGAGAGGAAAGTAATAGTACCAGCTTTGCGTCACTCGCAGCCGCGAATCTCTTTCGTAGTAAACGTCGTGGAGCTAAACAGCTGAGCAGACCACGCTGCCTGCCACTGCTCGTGCAGTATCATAGACAATGCATTGCTCACAGTGGTCGGGCACTGCTCATCTACACGTCCAGTCAATCGCGAAAGCTCATGCCACTGGAGAGAAAAAAAGATTGATTGATTCGCCGCGTCACTCCAAAGGATCGATTTGGAGCTTCGTGCCTAGCGCGGCGTTTGGCCATCTACGAGTAGCAAGCGTCAATCACTGCTGCTCACAGTGAACAGTGGAACAGACAGGAGAAAAAGAAAACAAAAAAAGAGAAAGAGAAAGCAACCATACCTCCATGTATGGAAAGTCTCAAAGAATCCATCTTTGGGCCCTGGCGAGCGAGAGAGTATGGCCCTCTTTGCATTTGGCATCTCCTTCTTCTTCCACAAGTCGTCCACGAGCTCTGTAAACGGGCCCCAAAGAGAAAACGAGAACCGGAATCAAAGCGTACTGATCTATAACGAGAACTTACCTCGCTAGCTTCGTTGTCGTTTTCGTGTGTGCTAAGTTGTACACCAGGCATTCTTATCCTCGGGGCTCCACTCTTGAAGTAGCAGGCCCATGGATGGATTTCTTAATTGTGACAAGAAGAGCCTTGACTCTTGTCACAAGAACGCAACCGTTTCTCGCGGAGAAACGCCACCTTGCTGTAAGTTGCTCGCCGGCAGACACATCAGCTGTTTTGCTCTCTTTTCGATCAATCGTGAGGCTGAGAAACTCGTCAAAGATCGCCTCTCGCCAGCCAGTCGCACTGCTTGGATCTTCCAGGGTATTCCTAAAGATGACGGCATTGGAAGTTGTCGACTTCCAGCTTCTTTGGAAACGCTCGAACCGAGAATTTCGTATGGAACACGATCACTAAACCACATCCACAGCTCAGTCACTGATCCCACGAAACAGGCTCCAACCATTTGGGACCCAGGGAAAGCTGCAAGATCAGCATTCCCGTGAAGTCTCCAATCCACCGATTCCAGAGCCGTGTGTCGCAGCATGAATCGTCTCTCGTCGCTGAAACCCTGGGTTTGATCAAGAACCCAGCTTCTTAACTCGATCTCTTGCAGCATATGCTCTCTTCGGTCATCTTTCTCACGTCATGAGAGTTTTGGCAGAGAGGCCAGATGAGCCAAGCCGCATGCTGGATGCCGTGGATATGCAAGTGCCACATAGGCACCTGGAAATATAGATGCGATGCGTGCACCAGATGCCCAAGGTCATTTGGAACAAGCTAAGAATGTTTTTGATGCAATGCCGAGTCGTGAAACCTTTCAGGAAATGCTTTCTACACCATGCCCAGAGAATCCAACGTTTAGCTTGAGTTTTAATGTGGACTAAGGTTTCTGAAATTCTCAGATACTTGGAAGAGACACAACCGGCAAGGCGAGTGCTTCATGTTTGATCGTAGATCCTTAAGCCTTGTGTGTTTCCTGGTTCTAGTGATGCTATGTTCATTGGCTTAAAAGCCACAGCTTGTGAAGTAGGCTCAAAGTATAGCAGATTCTGAGCTTCAACCCCGTCATCGGTCATCATTTGAGCATGCAACAATTCTCTGAACCTTGTAGAAGCAGCTCTCTTTTCGATCGTGAGGCTAAGAAGCTCGTGAAAGATTGCCAGTAGCCTCTTCTCGGCAGACAGAGCTTGGATCTTCGTAAAGGTGGCAGCATTGGAAGTCTTTTTGGCGAACTTCGTCCTCGCGAAAAACCCAAGGGCGTTCTTCCCCCTTTTTTCTCACAGTCACGACCAGCAACTGATCATCCCACGAAACAAGCTCCACCATCTTGGACTTGGAAAGAAGGCCGTAGAAAAAAAGCTGCTCGAGTCCTTGCACATGACCAGGATTTACGACAGAGCCGTGTGTCCCGGAATCCTGCATGATCTCTTGCATGAAACCCGTAAAGTGAGCTTAAACACAACAACGTCCCCTATCTGGCTGGCCGAATTCCATGGCCTTGGGCGTCCTATCGCACCACTAGAGACTACCTGTAGCGCCTTTCGAGTTCTCTCCATTCGCTGCATTGTCAAAGATTGGATCGAAGAGTGATCACCCAAGAGCATGGCAGAACGCCGCCAAGATCATCGACAGCGTGACGATACCAATCTCGCTGCTCCTGAGCTATGGCAAATGCGGCAGGCGCCACCGGAGGTATCCAGCTTCTCGACTCCAGCAGCAGTGCCCGGGTTCCTTTTGTCAGCGGTCACCTGGAACGTAGTGCTCTCTGAGCAATGCTGGCACCATTCGGATCTAGCAGCATGCTGGATGCCGTGGAACTGCTGCTTGACAAAGTGCCACAGGCAGCATATGCCCAAGAATGTCATTTTGATAAAGATGAGAATGCTTTTGATACAATGCCGGTAGGCGATCTCCTTGGTTGACACACCCTTTGGGGGGAATTTGGGCCATAGCCAGATGCCTAAATATTAATTCGTGCTGGAGTCAATGCAGAGAAAAGATAGAGTGTCGTGGACGGGTGTTGTTCCAGCAAATGCCCATAATGGACTTCGACCTGTTCGTACGAAGATGTGGCCCATGCCGTACCAGAGGCCTCGCCCGTCTAAATAGAGGGAAGTGGCGGGCCGAAAGCTAGGAACTTCTTCTCAGCGCGGCGGTGGCGATCGAGCGGCGATGACGAGCATCGAGCTTGTGGACATGATGCGGGATGGAAAGCAGCGGCGGCAGCAGCGGCAGCAGCCAGTGGCAGAAGTTCCCGGCAAGGTAATCGATCGATTTCCTTCTCTTGACTCATTTCCCTCCCGCGCATCGCTGGCCTCTCGCTAGCGCTTCTTTCTTTCTCGGATCGCCGCATTTCCTTGCATATTACGGTAGCGGTAGAGCGTCGTTCTTCTTCCATGGTGTTTCCGGGAGATTTCAAGTCGAAATCGCATTTCATACCGATATTGTTGATGATTGCAGGAGAAGCTGCCCGATCTGTCAGGATCTGGTCCCGATCCCGCCTGTTACTGGACTCGCAAGGTAAGCTTATTTCTTGGAAGGATATTGTTGACGATGAATCGTTGATGCAGGAGAACTTACGTGATTTTCCGCGATCTGCTCGGTCTGGCCCAGCCGATCCTTCTTTCAGCAGCTGCGGTGCAAGGTAAGCTTGTTTCTTGTGCTGGAAGGCTTGCTTAATAGGTGTTGCAGGAGAATTTCTTTGATATTTCAACTTCTCTTGCTTGTTCTTGGACTCGGTGCAAGGTAAAAGCCTGTTTCGAGATGGAGGAGCTCTTGAAACATTGTATGAGTTCTCCTGCAACACCGACAATTAATCATCAACAATAAGCTTTCCAGCAAAAGTCCATCGGATTATGCCTGTTCTTGGAGCTGGCATAAACGGTGTAAGGTTTGTAAGCTTTTCTTATTTTGAAGAATTTGTGTGACGACTAATCGGGGCTGCAGGGGCTCCCGACCTCAATCTTGGATGTCAGAGGAGAATTGAAAGGTATTAACATTCGGTGTGTAAACCAATTGTTTGGTATCAGGGATAATCTTACTGATTGCTCTAACAGTGGCTTTCAATCCCAGAGAAGCACATTTGACATTTCAACTGCAAAACTGGCACCGACTTAGCTTTTCCACCAACCTTGATGAACGAGAAGGGGTCGAAAAAGGCTGCCGGGTTTCCAGGTTGTGCATTGGATGTAGATCTAGTCGTCTCATATGGATGGAATATATCCTTCAAGATTTGCTATTTTGTTTCTAACTAGTTCTAAGATTATACTTTGTTAAAGTAGGAGTGAATCGTTGAAAACAATACGACAGCTTATGGGTCCTGGAGATAAACTTTCGTTTTATGCCCTTTTGGTGATTTATTTTTTATGGTACTGATTTTAGTCACGATGAAATGGATAACTTCGATGAAAGATTTGTCATGGAGTAAGTCTTTTGCTTTTAAATTTTGATTTGTTCCTTTCAATTAAGATGATATACTTCATGACATAATGATTAGGCATTGGCGGGTTGCTTAGGTGGGAGCCTCATCATCATCTACTCATCATCCAAGTCACCCTAGGTCTAGGGTCACTTTTAGCTTTTACATATCCAGCAATGAAAATCTCTCCGCATTCTCTGTCATGGTATCGGAGCAGGTTTGGCCAGGGATGGCCAAGAAGAAGAAGAAGATTGATCTTCAAGAGAGGATCAAGCTAGCAATAGCCAGCATCAACTTAAGATTGCAGGAAAAGAAATGCAAAAGATGTTAGTCACAAGATCATAAGGGTGTCTTTGAGCATCTAGAAACCTGCAGCTTCGTCCCTAAACACCATGAAAACAATTCTAATCCCCATCTATGATGGGCGAGACTTCTTCAATTGGAGCAAGGAGATGGAGTTTATTTTCTTGTGTGACATTGAAAAGAGCCACAACCATAAGATCCTGACGCAGCGTTGAAGTGGGGACTCCGAAATGGCAAAGCCTTGTCATCAATGGGGATGGGGCTAGGTCGTGATTTTCACCATCATCTAGATATCGAGAAGCCTGCAACAGATAATTGGGCACTACTACACAACACGTTGGGCAGTCGTGCTAGTGCTCAGTGATGAAGGTGGATTTGAAGATTGAGTTCTTCGGCCTAAAGCTTTCTCCAGAACAGCCTATCTCCACATTCTTGGGCAGGATGAAAACTTTGCGATCACAAATCACCAGTCTGGGTGACACTGTAGCAGATGTGGATCTGCAAGCATTACTCCTGAATGCTATGCGAGGGCATGCAAAGTTTGATTCATTATGGACTATCTCAATAACATCGATGGCCTTGATTGTCAGAAGATGCAGGCTGCAATCTTAAAGGAAAAGTTTTCCGATCATGGGAAGGCCTCGAGTTCTCAAGCGACAGCCCTAGTGGTGAGAAAAGGAAACCATCAACTCGTCCTCCTTGTTCAAGAAGAGATAATAGGCAGCAACAAAATCGCGCAGGCAGCGCCTCACCTTCTAGCATGACCGGCTATGGACGTAGAAAGGTATTTGCAACCATTGTGGACATTTTGCTCGAGACAATCAATGCAGCAACAGTTAGCGCAACAATTGCTTATGGGGCGGGGGCGCAAGAAATCTCCAAGGCAGAGCAACAGAAGTATGGCTCGATTCTAGAGCCACACTACACATGACACCTCAAATTGAAGTGCTGGATATGCCTCACTTTCTATCTCCAGGTTGAACAGTGAACAAAGCAGCCATACCAGTGGCTGAAGGTTCCCTAATCGTTCATACAGAAGAGCTCTGAAGGATTGCAGAGGTCTATTTTGTGCCAAGAATAAGCCAGATTCTGTTGTCTGTCAGTGACATCATAGACAAGGGCTATCAGGTGATCTTCAGTCGCAGCAGCTGTTAGTTACTGGACCAGCGATAGGAGGAGGTTGCCAGTGGCAGTAGATGTGGGTATATAAGCTAAACGTCACAGTGATCCCAACAAGTGCCACTTTAGCAGCCAAGGAGGCAGTTTCTCTTCAACTATGGCATCAATCAAGGAGCTTGCTCAAGTGTTACCAGAAGTGGTTCTTTCTCGGCAATCTTTCTCAAGATTTGTTGTACACAGGCGTTACCATTGGTTCATTTGGATGTTTGCGTACCCATGCATGTTGCTACCTATATATACAAGGAAGGTGGTAGTGAAGCTGATGCGTCATAAATCTGAACTCATGCAGCTGTTCTAGCTTTTCAAAGCAAAGGTTGAGGTGGCAACAGGTCTATGGCTTCAAGTTCTTCACTACGACAGTGGTGACAAGTACTTGTCTAACAAATTCTTTTGTTATTATGAACGGGAAGGGATCCAGTGCTAGTTTTGTTGGTACACCCCGCAACAGAATGGAGTTGCAAAGCGTATGAATAGGACCTCATAGGCAGCGCAACCAAAGATGCGTAAGTGAGCAATGCTGGGTTTCTTCCCAGTCCTCATATCGTAAGGTATATTATAGGAGAAGCTCTTACTCGGTAACTGATTCTGAATATAGGCTACTGCTTTGCCTCAGAAAGATCCAGGCATGCTAGCATGCATGAGCATGCAGCGAGCCATCTCCATCACCCATGTTCCTGATGATTTGTGACAGAAATTGGACCCGAAGAGCTCTTTTTGTGTCCTCATTGGCTACAGTGAGCAAATGAAAGCCTATTGGGAATCCCGCACCATCAAGCACAACATAGATGGTTTGTTTGATGAGCAAAAGTTGTACAAGCATCTTCTCGCTTCACATTCTAGAGGTATCATCTCTTGTGATTCCTCTACTAACTCATCTTGGCTGCTGCTACTTGACGGGGAGCCTCTCTCTATTCCAGAAAACACTCAAGTGAGGTTCACCATTGCCTCTAGTACCAGATCCTATTCCAGATTCACCAGTGGTACTGAACAATGTCTTCAACGGATCAGCTCCTCCTAGCCTCCAATTGGTTCCTGAACCTTCTCACTCCTCTCCTTCTCATTCTCACTCAACCAACATAAGTTATCTCTCTCGCAAGGCTTTGGAGTCTGCCAGCACCTCGACTTTGAGGAAGAATGCCTGCCAACAGTGGAGCTGATTTCTACTTTGCAGGAGGTGAGCGATGGATGACTCCAGAACCTCGCACAATACTTGAAGCAATGTATAGTCGGAAGGCTACCCAATGGCGCGGATCAATGAAAGAAAAGTATTATACTCTTATGAAGAACAATGCTTGGAGTTTGGCAGATTTGCTAGAAGATAGAAGAGTGGTCTCCACCAAATGGATCTTCAAGTAGAAATTTACTCCTCTCCGTAAAATCCACGCCTTCAACTTGGAAAAAGCGTGACAAGGAGAATCTGAAGCAGGTGCTCATATCTTCATAGTCTACAACAAATAGTTTAGGTTAACAAATAGATGCTCTCAACAACAAAGCAACCATGGATTCAAGTTGAAAATTTAAATCTTGACATCAACACCAAATATACCGACATTTATCATTGGCTTGCTAATGTTCTAGCTCATGTTTTAGGAATTGGCATCGACCGGCAGTTTCACACTAGAAAGCTATATGTAGCCTGCTCCACATGACTTTGACATTCATTAACTTCTTTGTCGTGTTTAAGGCACAAAAAATTGTCAATTTTCTAGTTATTAGTGAAATTTAGTGACTAAAGGTGTAACACTTGGCCCAAACATTATCCCTCAAACCCTTTGCACCCTGTTGTAGCATTTAACTTGAGATGTTTTTAAATAACTTTATCCATGTTTCGGCTTTGCTTGGGTTTTGTGTTTTATCCACCAAAAAACATGCATGATTCTGCTGTAGGTAGCGACCCTGCTACTTTTTATATAACCCCTCCAAGATTATTCTTTTATCAGTCCTTTGGTGATTCTCCAAGTAGACATGTCCCAGAAAAGACCCATTGGTCCACAGTCCTTTGTGGACTAGGGTCTAGCTTAACATTTGACCCAACCACTATCTCGTAGACCTTCGCACCCGGCCTCGTTCACTCATCGTTATAACACTTAACTTGGGATTCTTTTGAGTGACGTTATCCGGATCCAACAAAGGGGCAATTACTTATTTTATAAGGCCCTTGCTTGGTTTTGCAAGGACACTTGGTGGTGTGCTGCTTCACAAATGATCGCTCAGAGGTGTACACGTTTGCTTAGGCAAACCAAACAGTTATATAGCTGTCTTCAAATCAAGGAAACATGGAAAAATGTAATTATCAATGGATGTATGGTAGCTTCAATGTATTTTGATTTAGACAAGTTTGTTAGTTGAAAGATTATCTAAGGGGAAAGAATTTTCAAGAATCAGTATCACCTTTGAATTTCGACTGTTATGTTGACCATATTGACCGGCAATCCATTGTGAAAACTAGTTCTGATTGGCATTGAATCTGTGCTGAGTTATCAAGGGTGAGTGCACGCAGTTTACAATATGCAAAGCTAAGAAAAACAAATGAATCAACACAATTAACAAATCATTTTGACTTAGTTTAGGGTAGGGAATCATAGCAAGGTCCCTGTGCAGGTGGAGCAAGTTGAACAAGAAACAACAGTGAAAAATGACAACAATCCCCCTTCTTTTTGTGGGTTGTACATAAGATAAATTCAAACAGAGAGAGACTATGGAACCTGGTTTAGATGCATGCTTCCAACTCCTCGTTCTCAACAGAATCAGGCTTGCACATGGTGTCTTTGTCCTGTTCAATTATCATTAATTATTAGTTGTAATTTTTACAGGTATACCTTGTTTTACTTGTAATAGT